CAACCGACGGGTGAGCGCCCGTCTGCCATAGTTAATATTCGTGATAGCAACCGAGTGCTACAACGAACCCGTGGCCGAACCTTTGGCTCAAGCCGGTCGAGGTCTCGCCTTTTCTCCTTCCAACTGCAACCAGTTTGGACTTCGGCGGGGACTCCTGATCCAACAAGGACTACTATAGACACGCACGAGCTCGTGGCTCAAGGATTAGAACGTTACATTTCTGACAAAAAGAGTGCGCGTTCGATCCTTGGGGTCGAAAACCGAGGTTGGATATGGCTGACCGATGGTAGTTCATGTGCCAGAAATGGCCATTCCAATTTTCCTGGTCTTTGTCGATATTCCTTCTCTTCGAAAAATAAATAACTTTACTGTGTAGAATCTAGTACCCCAGTTCTTCTTCAGAAAACTGGGAGATTTACAAGACACACTTTACTTTTAACAATGCCTGATAGAATATTCTGTGGTTGGCTAGAGCGTAAGCCAATAATCTTCACCTGCATTTAATTATCCGCTCGATGGTGACTGTGTTCGCTTCCACCTGACCTTAAGAAAGTGCTAAGTGGCATCTAAGTATGTCTATTAAATGCATACCTCTTCTGAGTGCATTGCCTCCAGAAGTTTGCAGCCTTTTTTGTGCAAGCGCTAACGATGCGGGTTCTTTCTCATGTAACTATTTGTTCTTTATCGAGTGTTTGCATTAATATCTGTGATAAATGTTTCTTTCCTTTGCACCACTAGTTGATTTTTATTAAGGGAGACTGCCCAATTTGGCAACCCTAGACTGCATCAAAACTGTTAAACTGCAGGCGATTTCTTTTCTGTGGACATAGCCAACCCTACCTTTAGGGTACACAGCCTGCGTGCAAAGAGAAGTTGTAAGCTTATCTGATATTTGTATCTGGTGTTTTTATCTGTCTACCGAGCAGTTCTGGACTATGTTGGCTGCAGGGACCTAATTATTTGCGATAAACTCCGCCAACACACTCGCCTCTGGAAAAACATTCGCATCTGCTCTCAATTCCCCACCCCCTCTGCCGCGATTCGAAAAATAGTCTTTTTTGTATCCATGGCAGTTCACCTGCTTCCAGTCTGCCTGATTTCCAGCCTCACCTCTCGTAGGCTCGGATTTGTCTCGCAGACACTGCCCACTTGCCATTACATTGCTCCACCGTGTCCATATCATGTGCGTTCACTCAAAATAGCAATCCTCCTCCTCTTCTCTTGACCTACGATTTCTTCCTTCGTCTCTCGCCACCGCGTAGTCCTAGTCCTTGAGCTCGTCATTCCTCTATCAAAGCAGTGCCTACGATTATGCTTGTTTTTTGCTTATATTTGCTACATTCGTCTTATCGACCCAGCGCTCTGGCTGTCTTTTGTCTGTCCAGCCTCTTCCTCCTTCTCCACATGCCCTACACTGACTTCAATTTTTTCCTCCTCTTACCAGCACTGGAGAAAGATTAGAGAGGGGAGGGTTTGTGCTAGTGAATCGAACCGAAGCAAAAGCTAGCTGCACGCATGTGACTTACTTTCATCTTGATTGCCTGGAGTACATTTTATCAAGAACTGGTCCCCAGTCCCCCTTTTATTTCTACTGAATGCGTATCCATAGAACACCATCACGAGCTCCCACTTATGTCTTCTTTTGGAGTTCCTGCAGTCGGGACTTAATCAGCCTGATTTGTGCACTAAATGATTTAGGCTGCTCCAAAATATTGTGAACAACAGTAGACAACGTCCAATTACCGACGGCTATTCGTAGCCAGACCGATTGTATTTGGCGTAGTCCCTCACTCTCCCTCTCTCTCTCTCTCAGTCAGTGTGAAACACATGATGCCGCTTATTGCCGGAAGAGGACAGACCGTGCTTCCCAACTGGATGTGCGCACATTCGGACTAGTCCCTATTGTTTTCACAGTTGCCACTTTTCTCTGCCCATGTTTGTTTTCTGCTTATCACACAGTATGCTTGCCGTGTGGCTTCAAACCCATGCCATAATGTAGCTTCTCCATGCACCTCTAAGTCTCTACAGCATACCCTTGGCGCAGCGCTTATATGTTCCGAATATTCTTACTTTAGTTCCATCAAGTGTGAGAAGTACGCTTAGTTTTTGGGAGACTCTGGTGCACTTCTGCACCAATACAGTCTCATTTTACCTCTCATTTTCTAGTCACAACAAAAGTATTCGGCCTAGTTACTAAAAATCGGCAGCGCATTTTTGGAAGTGCGTTCATCGACACGTTACACGGCATATGGGCTCAAATGAAAGTCCTCGCAGAGAGTCGGACAGCGACAAGCAAGCATGTAGAAGAAGTATTTCCGTAGACAGCGGTAACTTGAATGACCATTTTAGGCATATTAGCAATCGCCAGTCAACTCCAAACCCACGTTTGTAGGGTATTTGATAATCGGTCGTCATCATGTCCCACGCTGCATCGTGGAGCAACAGATCCGCTGTACTGACAGTTGCAATCAGCAACATTAATTGTAATGAATGTCAACCAATTAGATTACTCGACATGCTAACCCTCTGTCCCAAAATACAGTAACAGTAAATTTCTGCAGCAATACAGCCACCGATCGCCTTTAGCTACTTTTCTGTAAAATACAATATCTTCTTACAGAAAGTGACATAACAACCTTTCAAGGCATTTATTGCAACCGCTAAAAATGATATGCCTGATTGCTTGATCTTAAGTTAATTACGATCGCGTTGCGACTCGCCTTTCGTTTCTGAAAGGATACCTATTTCTGCGTCGTAGGCCTGATCTTAACCGTAGTCCTAACCCTAACGTTGAGGCCAGATCTAGCGTTCTCGAGTATGTTTGCCAAATGTTCTTCTGAATCCTTGGATAGTGAGTATTTCCGATTGAAACCGACAGACAGCTTAACTGCGTACAATAGAACTCGTTTTATCCCAACACGGCGTTCAGTATGGTTTGCTGACGATGGCAAATAAGCTGGAAATAGCCCCCTCCGTTTCCTTTGTCCTTTTCGGCATTCTCTCCTGTACTATGACTGCATTACTGCAAACTTTGGTCTCAACTACATCTGATCAGAAGTAGACTCTAGCGATTTAGAAGTGTCCGGCTTCGTTAAGATACTCTTTGCTCCGGCCAACTTTCCTGATTCTCCCCTCATCGACTTTGGTGGAGTTCTCTTGCCTTCTTCTTCATCCATGCTCTTAGACCATTTTAACGATTGGCTAAAACACAACTCTATTGTTTGGTGCTATGTACAATGGATCTTTGTGTTTTATACGTGTTCATGTTGTCGGAATTGTCAAACTCGGGGCTCTAGTGCAGCGAAATCTCGCCTGAAGTCATTACGAGTAATGCGCGCTCGACGCTGTCATTTAATCGGCAACTGAAATTCCCTTAACTGTTTTCAATAGCTAAAAAATTCTCCGGCCTTCTCCCTAAACGACTATCTATGATTAGAAAGTGGCGGTGGAAGCGGTATTTACTGACTCATCCACTTCCAGGACGTTTCATTCAACTGCAAGTGGGCTTCCGTATTTTTTTAAAGTAAAATGGATTTTTGTTTTGTGAACGTTCAGTCACAAATGCCGTACCTTCTAGGCAATAACTAGCGTAAGCAATTTTTATAACTGTCATTACGCCTAGTAACCGTGCATGTGGACCAGATTGAACTTAATAAAAATAGGGAGTGATAAACAGCATGCTAAGGCCAAAATTATGGCGACAGGGTTCCTATCGAGGCAGTAAGACACCGAGTACTTGATTCAACTGCATGCATAACATCCAAATTCATCTCCTTCTTGTCGCGGTCTCCGAGCTGTCAGCCGAAAGTAGGTTGTTTTCAGAATTCTCCGTGATTGCCTATCTACGAGTTGTCACATCCTGCCGTCTAAATTTGCATTTTGCATTTGCATGGATAACTCTATTTGTCCAGAGCGTTCTCTGAAGCCTACACACTAAGCCTTGAGACTGTTTGTTTGTTTGAACGAAGAAACCTTATCTGACGCTGTCGTGCGAAGGCTCGGCCACATGAATGCCCGTTTGAACTCTTACTTCCTCCCTATTTTCAGAAAATATTCTTTCCACAGAAAATCGCTCATTCAGTCCAGGCCGTAGTTTAGTTGGTATTGTTTTCTGTCTTGATTGTCAGCTAACAATTGTAAATGATTAATTTACAGACGCGAAACAACAAATCAGATCTGCGACATGTCTATACATTTTTCAAAGTGTACCCTTTCACAACGTTTTCTTTGGTGTAGTCCTCTACCAACAAGGTTTTCTCAATACTTCCTATCATTCGGCCAGCACTTTTGGCGGTATTTTATATTCCCTATTTCAACCGACAGGACAACGGACCCGCAGAACGTTGGACCTCGAGTCTGGAATTAAACCCTGAATGCCAGACCATGCAAACTTGGAATTAAGTAGAGCTGGTGGCTGACGGCTTTCAAGCCAAAAATCACCATCTCAGTCCCCGTTGCCTTTGCTCATTTTCTCCTTGTAACTGCCCACGAGGGCTCGAGACGGAGTCCCAAGACGCAACGGTGCGATATCTTACCGTAACCCGATCAATGAACGTCCTTTTAGCTCACCGTCGCTTGTCTCCGTGCACGCATCGTTTTTTTGATGTTATTCAGGCACTGTTCTCCAAAAGCAGTGTAATTGAGCGGGCTTGTATGAGACAAACCTGTTTGAACTGCAGAGCCTGTGACGAAGGCGTTGGTGTATGCAGTTTTAGTCCGCAGGATTGCCCGCGGACCGACTGGCCACCCGCAGTTTCCTCAGAACGTCTGCACATTTTTATCCTCCAATCTGTTCAGTTTTATCCACGGTGTCCTTAAAGAATCTACATCAGAACAGTTCTTTGACCAGCGCAGTTCGTTTTCCGACAGTACCAGTTCTTCCAGCTCTTCCTTTCTGTATGGATTCAATGTTTCGGATGCATGCGAGGTCACTTGTGCCTTATAGTCATCGGCTTCTTTCAAGCCCTACTTCTCGAGTATGATATTGTGTGCTGGCCGGTGAAATGGTGTCCTAGACCTCGGAAATGCTTCAGGCGTTGCTAGTGTACGGGCTTCACAGTATTAGACACGAATAGATAATTTCAAGATATGTCCTTCGTTTTAAGCTGTCGTGTCAATTTTTTACCTAACTAGTCACAGCTAACACAACTTATTTGCGTACAAATTGCTTTATGCGTGGCTCTCCAGTTATTTTCGGTTATCCCTCCTTGCTGTCTGTTTAGGACTGGCGCTAGTCGTGAAGGGACTGAGCCTCTTCATCTACGTCGGTCTCCTCTACCTGCTTCGGAAATCCTCCCTAAGAAACCAACCAATGAACGGTATGCGGACTGCCCCGAACTCCATCCACGCGGTCTCCATCAATACAGAGGATACCAGAGAACAGTCTTAGGACAATCCAGGCCGGAACCGCTGATCACCCACGCACACTCACTCTCTTCACGTGTTATCTACTGGCCTTTGACTTCGCGATACCCTCCGCCAACGATCTCCAGCA